GGAAACGCGGTGTCAAGGGCTGTTCTCAGACTCTCCCCTGGGCTGGCAGCTCACCTCACGGCTGAACCCAGGGAGTGGGCTGGGAGGGGCGGGTCAGCTTGACCACCCCTTCCCAGGGCCCGGTTCCTCCACGCTATTGTCCTTAACCTTGTACAAAGGCAGCCTGGTGTGTTGTCATCTCTGGGTGCCGGCCTGGGAGTCAGCGGCCTCCTCGGTTCTACCCCGGATTTGATGTGGGGCCAACAGTGAGTCATCGGCCCTTTTTTCACTCCCCATTTCCTCTAGGAACGATGATGTGTCCTCTTTCGCATCTTTATGTGAAAGAGGCTGCAACTAAGTCACATCAGCGGGTTTTCACCAGGAAGAAGTCCTAGTTCAAAGAGTGCAGTTCCCGGAGTGGCCTCCAGGGGTCGCTGTGGACACAGAGGGCTGCAGGTCCCTCCCGGGAGGTCAAGGGTCCCCACCGCCTCCGGCCTCTGAAAAAGCCCAGCCTGGTGAGGGTGGGGCGCCCCCGGAAGAGGCTTGAAGCAGCCTGGCCTCACCTGGCCGCAGGGACAGCCGACTGCTTCAGTTATAAACAGTGTGCTTCTTTGAGGGTTTTTCCTAGTCCTTGAAAAGTAAAAGAAAGAAAAGAGGAAATCCTGACAGAGAATGTGGCCTGAGTCGACCGTAACCACAACTGGGCACTAGAGTTGCTACAAGCAATGTCGCCACAAAGGTGCGGGCATCAGAGTCGGTCTGTGGTGTATTAATAACTCGAGCTCTGCGGAAGTCAGGGTTCGAGTCTGTCTCTGACATCTCCCTCTCTCTCCCTTCCCCCCCCAACCCCCACTGCTCTTTCTCACACCCCCACACACGGAGCATCTTAAAAAATAAAATCCCCGAACATCAGGCCAAAACAACGACGACGTCCCAGCAACTGCTAATGCTTTCTTTCTTTGGGCAATGGGCCAATAATCCAGTCATTTAGACCCAGAAAGACGTACCCATGAACAGACTAAGTCACATCCCTCAAAACACAGCGCGGCTGGTATTCCTTCTACGGTCCACGATTTCACTTGGAAAATTACAGGGGAAATAGAAAAGGACATTGTTTGGTATCGAATGTTTAACGTGCGTGTGAAATGATGGCAGAGGAAGCCTCGCAGTGACGTCTCAGGCTGGAGATGTTAGTTTATCTCATTCGACACGACAGAATAAACTAACACGATCGCTGACTTTCTTCGCTCGCCTACCGTGCAAGGCCCACTCTTGATCCATGTAAGTTGCTTATTTTCCTTTGCAAGGAAGACTCAGGACAATTCCCCCACTTCCTTTCCTCTGTTCTTTCCTTCCTTGCTGCTGACTGAAGCTGCTGATGGGTGGGGCCGCACCATGACGTAGGCTAAATGAATGGCAAGTTCGGATGCCTGTCATTCAGGTGGTTTAAGATCATTGTAATAAAGTCTATAGTACATATAATGGTCCAGTTCATACTCCTGTTTAATTAAAATGACTTCCTGATTATCTTCGTATTCAACACTCTCATTTTCCTGTCCTTTTGATTATAAAGGTATTTTACCGTTAGCTGATGACTTTTTAAAACGGCCCTACTAGCAGAATTCGGTAACCCCAAATAAATACCAGGGTCCAGAGCTTCTCGACATGGGCATTATGGATCTTTTGGGCTGCATAATTCTCTGGTGGGGAGGGGGGAGAGCAGGGGCGGGGGGCGATGTCCTGTGCCTTCCAGGATAATCAGAAACATCCCTGGCCTCCACTCACTAAGTGACAGTAGCATCCCTTCACCCATTGCCCCAGGATCCCTGAGGGTGGGGGCGGGGTGTGTGGGTGAAGTCACCAGTTAGAACCACAAAGAGTGCCTGATGTGTCAAAATGAAAGGGGGGGGAGGAGGGAAGAGAGAAAGTGAAACTTCTCGCCTCTTGCTTTTGAGCGTGCGAGCCTGCAAAGCTTCCGGCAATCGTCTGGCATCTTACCCTAGCGAAGGGAGTTACTCTTCCTCAATTTCCAAAGCCTCGTGCAGTATCTTTTGAATAGACGTATCCTGAACTTCAAATAGATTTTCAAGAAGGACTAGAAGTCCACCAAGTCCCACTAGGTAAACTATCTATAAACCTTAGCATAACTTCACTTTGAGCCTTAAACTAACAGCATGTGAAAAGATCAATATGAGCAAATTCAAAACTAATCAGACCCCTTCTTTAAATGTTGACACAGTATTATTTATATCCTATAAATACCTTTCTTCTTGACTAAAATTCATCCTAGGAGATTGGCAACTGGCCAGTTCTATTCATATTTACTGTATTTATATAGCACGCTGGGCCAAGGATAATATTTAAGACAAAATATGCCTGAAGGCATAGACAATATCTCTTATATTTTTACTTTTAAATCTCCACGTTGCTAAAAATATTTAGTCTGAACTGTATAAAATGTCTCACAAAGGGCTATCAGCGATCTGTAATGATATATAGTTCATTGAGTATAATTAGAGCATATTTGTAATATTTGAGCTGAAGTCACTCCCCGAACGCCAATAAGTTGGTGGTAAGAAATGAACCAGTGATCTTTCCCATGGCTTCATCTCTGAGGCTTATGACCCTCGCTGCAAGAAATGACTGGCATGCTTCCTCCGCGCAGCCACCGCCACAGTCTTAACGAGGAAAAGTTGGTATATAAGCCAATGCTGTACTTTCAGTTTGCTCTTTAAAAATATGGTGGAGTGATTTTCTCTTTTCTTCATTTTTTTTTTTTTTTTTGGAAGGGTTTACTATATTCCAGTCTAACTAGAACGTGCTGGAAAATCAGTTAGCCTACTTTCTATAAAACTATCCACAGTCCTTGCACAGTAGGATCGAATCTGCTATTAATATGGTTTTCTGCTCCTAACTATCCATACACAATACAAGTTTTAAGAAGCCTGAATTCTCTGCATGAAAACTGATAGGATATTTTTCACACTGGACTTGTCAGAAGTTTTCATTTACTCGGTGGCTGGGGATGGGGTGGGATGGGGAAGAACATCCACACACTGAATCTCGGTGCATCCTCTGAAATCCTAATGCTCTGAGAACGTTTTCAGTCTGGTGGTGACCACGATCCTGAGTCCCATCACCTTAGCCCTGTGACTAAAATATCCTTGAGAGAACAGAATTAACACTTTCTTGGGCAACTTGCTCTCTCTAGCTATCTAATGATGAGATCAGACCTCTCTCTGTCAAAAAGTGCCAGCCGTTCAGAGTGCAGGTAAACACGAAAGGGGTGACTCGCTCGAGTTCTGTGTAACACACTCGCTTGTCTACCCGAAAACCAGCGGGACTCACGCACGTGCTGGGGAAAGCAAACTGACTCAACCTCCTGTTCCGTCTCACTGATTCTGGACTAATGACAGTAAATTTTCTTGCCTAATAGCTCCTTGGCTCCTCCCCAGGTAGAGAGCTTTACTTCTCCTGGGGACTCACCGGGGTGGAGTGTATTTATCACCACTGAGGTGGACGGTGCCATAATTACAATACTAGACTCGTCCTGCCCACCGGGGTCTCCCGCATCTGCTCTGCCCTTGCATAAAAAGAGGAAAAGCTGCAACAGAAGGTGGCCACGGACACTGGGGTCACTTCGGGGGCTGACATTCTGACACGGATGAGTAGGAGACACAGCAAGTCACAGAGCTGTGACTTGTCAAACTACAAATAAATATTAAAAAAGAAAAGCTCCACCCTACCGTTCGAACCTCTAGGACAAGAGTATCAAGATGGCCATATTATCTATGTAGGCAAGATGCAGAGACTTGGGGGAGGCAGACAGCAAGTATATAGGGCACGGAAAGGGGAGGAGAGAGTGGGCAACCAATGAAAAGTTTACAACTTGGGGTTTGGACTACGCAAAAGTTGAAGTTTTTTTTTCTTTTTCTTTTTCTTCTTCCTGGTATTTAACCCTCTCGGCTATCCCTGGATGATGCTTTTTTTTTTTTTCTATTTTTTTTTTTTTTAAGAACTTGGAAATAATTCTAAGTTCTCTTTCACCCTCCCACCCCCACCCCAAAGAACTCCTGAATAAATCAGTTCCCTCCCCTCGCTGCTGTATGCCAGCTGGTTTTGAGGACACTGCCCTCTGAGAAGTCAGGGGGTTTTTTTGTTTGTTTTTGTTTTTGTTTTTGTTTGAAATCAGCTGTCTTCTACTCTGAGATTTAGGAATGTACGGAACTAACTGCAGGAGCGCCAGGGTCAAGGGGGAGAAAGTTAAACGCATAAGAAAAATGATCTACAGCACCCGGCCAGCTTAAGAAGGGAGATTTGAGTGAATTCTGAAAAAAATAACGTGAAGTCAAACCCCTTTAACCGTCCTCAGAAACGAAGTTGTGCTTTCCACCCTTCCAGGTGAAACCACGGGAGACGTGGCTGCACGAGCTGGCCTTTGGGGGCTGTAAACGCCTAGCTGTGGCAATAGATTCGGGAGTGGGGGTCCGGAGGTAGGTTTTTCGAGGGGTGTCTCCCAAATCGGGTTTGTCTCGGCAATGCTGGCATTTTTTTCGGGGAGTTCGAGACAATAGAGAAAGCTGGGGGGGGGGTGGAACCCGCGGATAGCTCGGCAAGAAAAAGGGGCACCTCTCGCAGAGGCCGGTTTTGAGCCCCGTTTTTATTTAACCCTTCGTGGCACCCGCTGGGCCGGCTCCGCGGCCAATCGGGGCCAAGAAAACAAACCCATCAAGATTCCCCAGTTGGACTCGGGCCGAGGGAGGGAGCGCCTCTCGTGTGACAGAGGGGGACTAACTTCTAGCTGGTGGCCTTGTCAAGCGAGGGGGAAAAAAAAATCAGAGACAGAGAGAGAGAGAATAACGCCCTAAAAAAGGACGGGGGCGGGGGGAAGGAAAGGGAGAAATGGAGAAAACACAGCGCGAAGGCAGTGTTTTCCAGCCTAACGCTCCCAAGCGGGCGGC